TCCTTCAAGGAAAAAAAGAGAGAGATATTGGAGTACTGTTGCTCCCGAGAACCAGAAACATCTTGGTCCCGAAAACTGAGTTCATTACGCCCAAGAATTACTTTTTTTTTTTTCTCAAAGGACTAGAATCTGGCGCTATAAAATGTGGCTAACAGATTCAATTCTTGGCACAATGATTTGCCTTGCGTTTAGTATTTTCTTGGACATGAAAATATCGGGGGTGACGCTATTCGGTGGAATGGCGGACTGACGGAATGACGGAAAGGAATGATGGAATGCATGGAATATTCTAAAATACGGAGTATACGGAATACTCTAAAACGCAGAATAAGAGAAAAATCGTTTAAAAAGGGTATGCATGTATACAGTTGACTCCAATAACTCGAACCCTCGCTACTGACTCGAACCTCATGTTAACTCGAAGTAATACTAATTTTTGTTTCTCTTCAGATCATTTCTATATAATTTTACCCTCATTAACTCGAACCATGTTTTAAGCGCGTGACAAGTAAAAGAATTGACTTACCGTAATGATTCGATTTAGCGCCCAGGCGCCTATTTACTTTTGGTGCCTCTAGGGAGGACGCTTATTCAGGACAGGGCGCTTATTTCTTTTTTGAGAAACAACCAAATGTTAAAAAAAGAACTTTGATATTTATTTAAAAATGAACAACATTTGAAACTGTAAGCAGTAACAAATACTGACGGTGAATGCTCAGTTAACGCGAGGGAATTACCTTGAAACTTGTAGGGCACTTTGTCGATGGAACTTTCCTTCCTTATATTCACCTTTCTTAAAAAAGCTCGCAGTCAAAACAAAGTGCAAGTTGATTAAGGTAATGGATCAAGGAGACTGGAAAACGGACTTGTTATCCCTGGATCCTTCCTCGCCAGAACGACCAGCCGAGCAATCTCCACAAAATTTGAAGAAGAGATCATTCCTTTGAAGACTTTGAAGAGTCTGGAAAATCTAAAGCAAGCGACCGGACAAATTTAGGCACAGGCGCGGCCCCCATTAATTGGTAGTACAATCCTGTCAAGCTTAAGTTCACAATTCTTTTTTTTTAGAACAGCCGTTTTATGAAAGTTATCCAACATTAGATTCCCGTGATACCGGACCCTTCACCCGCCAAGATGGCTTTCAAAACCGTCATAAGGTCTATAGTGTGGCTTACGGCAGTACGAAAATTGAATTTTTAATATTGCCTCTGCTTTTTCGTCAGTCCAGTTCAAATCAAATACAGAATATTCTGTAAATTCCTTGTTTTAGAGTATTACGTATATTCCGCATTTTACAACTGATTGTATGTTTTCCGCCATTCCACCGAATAGGGTCACCCAGACATTGGAGAGGACATCATAAAAAAATATAGGAGACCGGTAGGACTTTTAAATCGATGAAAGTGCCTCACTCATTTTGCAACTTCATTTTATAATATGCTTCATAATTTGTTTCCACAATAATATTTATGATATTTAGATGACAACCAATGCACAACGTACAACTTGTCACATTACCAATTGGACAGCATACCATGCACTCAAACTCTTGCGCAGGAAAGTTACAGAATGAAATTATTTTTTGCTGCACTCAGTCACATTCCTTTGCACTAAAACCTTGGCTAAAAGGTCTCTTTTTAGATCTGTAGATTTGTAAGGTATTTCGAAATACCCGCACATATCTTTCAACACTAACATTGAAAGATGAAAGTTTGTTGCTGTGATAATTATGACAAAGATTGTAAACATCAAATATAATTGGATGTTTTAAGCCCAAATATTCTATCACCTCTTCAACAGCATGGAGGGGGAAATGGGCGCTTACGGTATTGAGCTTTTTTTCAAGCGGTATTTCGGTAATTTGGATTTTAAAGTGGGGTATTGCGGTATCATTTAGCCCTGCGGTATGCGGTATTTCTTCCTTTTGGTTAACAGTATTCGGTAAAAGAAGATCACGGTATTGCGGTACTGTTCATTGCGCTCTCCTGTTTAATGCTAGCCTGCGTAGCAGGCGTTTGGTTGACCCCTCGCGTGTCTCCCTCGCGCGCGCCCGTTCTCTCTCGCGCCCACTACTTCGAAGCGCCTGCTACGCAGGCTAGTTTAATGCACGTCACTATTTTTAAGACTGTAGATTAATGGTAAATGATTACCATTACACAATTTCTGACAGATAATCTGTGATGAAATTGGTAGGGTATCTTTTTCGTTCGTTGTACCGATCAATTCGAGGTCGTCTCACGTTTCCTCGCAAAATTAAATTAAATTGATTAAATACCGCAATACCGTGAGAAAAATTGGTGAATACCGAAATACCTTGTCAAAAATCGACGAAATACCGATACCGCATTTATTTTCGGTATTGGGTACCTACCAATGCCCCCCCCCCCTAGCATGGCGTTGCTGTCCAACTTTGTCACCTTTCTTCAGGTCCGCTGACCCCTACACGCGCTGACCTGTAACATCCGTTGGAATGTATGTAACGAAATACAAGCAGCCCACATTCAAAGTACTTGGAGACTAGCTGAGGCTGAATTCATCGTCATTGATAGGAAAAACATAAAACTGTTTCACTTCACGATTTCTGGTGATAGAAAGAATGTTTTTTTTTAAACTTATATTTCACGTATTTGTTTGGATCCCGCTGCAGTTCGGACAAATGAATGCTGTCACGCGACAACATTTCCAAGATTCAACTCTCCTTAGCAGATGGTAATTTCGAGTTATTCTCTTTTTCTGCGAATCTTTCATTTTCCTTTCTCTTCTAATTCTATATACTTCTATTTAGGATGGTTTTCAGCACCTAGCAAGGCTTAAAGTGGCGTTTACCACGCTATCCTTGGCCATATTGGCAACAGAGAAGTGTTTCGCCGAAGTTGCAACTTAACGGTATAAAATACGGTAACTTTGAACGGTTTTTACAACGTCAGTATACTTTGGCCGAAAAATGTTTTTCCGAAAACGTGATGTATATCCCTCCAATGTCTGGTTCATCACTGTGATTGCTTTCAGCAGCGTTGGACTTTTGAGAAATTATTATCTTAAAATCAACTCCAACGCTCTATCTAATTCAATATGCAATATTTGAAAATTTATTTTTTATTCCCTTCGGCAGTTTTTCGATGTTTATCGAATGGTATTGTTTTAAAAGGCCTTTTTCTTCATCACTGTGTGGTTTTCTCGTTGTTTTGGGTCGCGATAGTGATTTCTGAACCGTTTTTTGCGAGGGCTTATTTTAGGCCTGATTTTGCTGCTATCAGACGGAAAAAGTTTGCGGCTCAATATTTTTGGTTTAAAGCGAAACTGAAACAAAAGAAATTCATTTTTGAATAGTATTCGGTAACCTCTACTTGGGAGATAAAAATTGGCCGGTTTTATTTTTTAGCCGGAAATCATCGGTCGTTTCTTAGGCGCAGGGCCTCTTAACTCTTAGGTTATTTCGGGCAGCCAGCGCCCCTATCATTGTCTGTACTATTGTTATAAATTTTTATTTCTTGTATATTTGGGGTGAAATAAAGTGTTGTTGTTGTTGTTGTTATTATTCAAAGAGACCAAACTATGTCCTATATGAAGGCCAATACTTTCATCTGGCAGAATTTCTGCCACTGCAAGAAGGGAAGGTGTGCAAGCCGTCAGCATCGCGACTTTCTCATTGGATAGATTCTGCGAGGAATGACTTTTATGATATAGTAGCTATGTGGTTACCATCAGAAAGTTTGCATGTGGGTCACATTATAAGAATCATCCGCTCTCTGTCTC